GAGGGAGGCGGCGCGTCGCGGGGAGAGAGGGAGGGAGAGAGAGAACTGGAGCCTGGCTATGGCAGGGGCTGCTGGCGTCAGAGAAAGAGGGGTGAGTGAGGGGAGGAGGGAGGGATGGAGGAAGGGAAGAGCCCTGTCTGAGATGCGGGCAGAGTGCTGCAGACAGATGCCCATCCTCCATGCTCACCGCTCACCGCAGGGACTCGCTGGTCCCAGCTTGGCTTTGTGTGGGCTTGGGGAGATGGTGAAGACAGCCCCCATTCCTCAGGGTAAGCCCAACAGGAGGGGATCGCCCTATGTGAGGGTGGAGTCGGAGGCTGCTGGCACCTTTTGTGTGCCCAGGCCTGTGCTGAGGGGAAAGTGTGCCCTGGACATAGGTGGGGCTGATGTGGAGGCCGAGAGCGCCATTCCAGAGGACGGGCAGGTTCTGAGGCAGAGACGAGGGTGAGCGGGGCGGTGACAAAGGGCCTGGGACAAGGGCTTTGAAGCAAGATCTAGGTGGGTTCCAAACAGGCCTCTGACGGCCCCTCGCTGTGGCTGAGCGAGTTCTGACCCTCCAGCTTCCACTTCTCAGGGGCAAGATGAGACGGTGACTCTAGTTCTCAGGTGACAGAGGACAAATGTGCACACGTGGTGAGTAGGTGTTCTGCCCCCTTTCCCCCCACTGCCCAGGCTCAGGGTTCTAGTTGATTCCCACAAAGAGAGATCCTTGCAGGGATGGGAGGCCTTTTTCTGGAGTGACCACCTCGCCTCACTTTGGGACTAGAAAGTCAGACAAATGGACTGTCATTCCCATTTCAGGGGCAGAGTCACCAAGGCTGAGAGCAGTGCTTACTCCATAAGCAATTAAGTCCCAGGACCAGGAACGCGACTCTGGGAAAATCCGGGAACCTGCAGAGAGATGAGGTAGGCTCAGAAAGGTGAAAGTCAGGGACAAACCTAAGGATTAAAGTCAGCCAGGAGGGGGCCCAACAGGTGTATATTACAAACACACCTTGATATGCACACAGAGCAAGGAGCAAGTGTGTGACTGGTTAACATCTGTCCGTGGGCCACATGGGGTTTGGCCCCTGTGGGAGTCTCACAGAGCTTGCCAAAGCAGACAGCCAGTTCAAGTTTATTGGCTGAAGATCCCTGTGGCTCTGAGCAGGGCTTGCTCTGGTCAGCCTTGTTTCCCTTTCCTCTCTGAGACTTGTAAGCTGCTGGCTTCGGGCAATCTACTAACCGCCTGTGCTTTCTCCCCTCACCTGTGAAGTGTGCACAGCAGAAGAATTTATCTTAGAGGTCATTAGCACAAACACACCACTGCCTGCTTGGATAGTTCTGAAGCCTGTGGCTGGTAAGCATTAAGCAAGGGCGTGGCCAGAGCTCCTCATCTTCTCCAAGCTTCCTGCTTAGAGGCCAAGGTAGACACTCTACAGTCCCCTCATCGGAACAGGTGGTGTGGGTGGATGCCAGCTTGTGTCCTGGACATCCCAAGCATGATCTCACACATCAGCATGGACACGCATGTGCCATTGGCGGAAAACATCTGGACATTAATGAGCCCATGAGGAGCTCTGAAGTCAGCATTGCCAGTGGCCTGTGGGCTATCACTGCAGCGTCAATTTCTTCCTGGTGTCTTTGGAACGTGCTGGGTTGTCTGGACCAGTATCTCTGACCACACAGAGCTGTGGTGATCCCTGGGACCCCATGTTGACTGCCAGCTGGTGCTAGATGCTGGGAATTCAGAGGGGCCCACCCTAACCAGTGGTGGACATTGACCGGAAAAATGGCTAAACCCAGGGGCAGTAAAGGAGGAGCTGGCGAGGCTCCCAGGAGCCAGGTCACAGCAAGGGGCCACCATTTGCAGACTTAAGGAGAGTGAGTGTGTTGTAGAGACTAAAAAAACCCAAGCGATGCTTAGAGAAATGGAGTTGAAAGGACAGAACAGGACTGATAGCTGTGTCCTTAACCCCTCTTCCAAGAAAAAGCCACAGAATGTATCAGTTACTCAGCCTGCCCTTATCTCGGCCAATGGGAAAGTGGGGGAAACTAGCCCAAGGCCAAGAGTATGCTAGCCACCCCTCTGTCTTTGTGTAACCAGACCCTAGCTGCACCCTGCCCTTTCATCACTAGCCCCCGGCCCTCACTCAACCAACCGGAATCGGCCAAATCAGTGGTCAGAGTGTGCCCCCACCCCCCGACCCCAAGCCCTATAAATTCTTTGTTCCCTTGGGACTCGGGGCTCTCTCTTGCATCCAGTAATGGAGGCAGGGGGGAACCAAGTCCCGGGCTTGAATAAAAGACTCTATGCTTTTGCATCGGATTTGGTGCTCCCTGGTGGATCTTTGGGGGGGGGTCTTGAAATCTGGGCATAACAGAGTTACACATCTTTATTACGCCAGCAGTCTCAGAGGAGTTGCCTCCAAAGTCTGAGCAAACCAATATGGTGGAAGCTCTTCTTTTATCTCCTTTGGTTTGTCCCCCAAATATGGATGGGACTTCCGGACCTTTCGTAGGCTTTGCAAAAAGCCCCGTGTGTTGGGATGGGGGCCTTGAGACCATACCTAAGGGCCTGTCCTGGCGCCAGCGCTGATAACCCCCTCCGGGAGTTGTATATTGTTCATGGTTTATGGCCTCTGTAAAATATGAGCATTTAGGTAACAGGTCTTGCAAGACCAGATTGTGGAGAAAGGGGCAGTGACTTAATTATAGGTTATCAAGAATGTACATTAGGTTACAGCACAGATTCAGATTACTAGCCCCCACCCCAAACATCAGGGTTACATTGGAATTAGCTTTTTAGCCTTCTCAATTGATTTAGACTCCGTCTTAAAGAGTTCTGGTTGTCCAGGCAACCAAGGTAGCTTGGCCCGGGGAAGGATAGTGAAATAGAGGCCATGGTGGAGTTGACACCGAGGGAGGGCACGGGCGGGACCCCAGGTTTCTTCCCGCGGGCGATGGAGTGTCCCTCCCTGGGCTTAGGGTCAAAGAAAGGCAGGTGGGGCTTGAAACCAAGCTTCAAGCCCACAGGCATCACAGAACCTTCAATTGGAGAACGGTTTCCGCTGGGAGCTCAATGCAACGGACCGGAAGTGGAAGCAGAAGTGACGTAAAGTGACGCTACGCACCTCGGCGCGCGAAGTCCGAACTGGCAGACGGCGGAGCACGCGCTGGTGCCCCGGACTAACTGGGGTGAATTCTTGGGACCCTTGGTCGTGGAAGGCTTCCGCAGAGACTAGTGGGCCGAGAGGCGCGGAAACCCTGGAACTGGTACTTTTAGTCGAGTGGCGGCTTCCGAAACTACAGCTCCCGGCAGGTCCCGCGCTGCCTTCAGGCCCACGCGTAAGCTATTTGGCTGCGCTGCATTCTGGAATTGGTAGTTTTCCTGCGCTCTTGGGCTTTGGGCGCCGTTCTTGGCGGAACCGGTCCTTTGGCTGTGGTTGCCTTGTGGCCGGGCCCTGCAGCCAGCGCGGGCATTCAGTGTTTAGTTGAATGCCGGCATCCAGGCGAAATTGAGGCCTAGAGAAGTTGAGTGACTTGCTGGGGACCACACGGATTCGCCTCCCAGATTAGAGCCGGTACACATGGGCTTTCGTTACACGTAGTTGCCCACCAGAGAGAAATGGGGCGTAGCTCCGGGCCAGGGGAGCAGAAGGTTGGGAGACACAAGAGCAGGAGCTTCAGACCGGCCCAGGCTGGGATGGGGCGCTGCTAGAATTTGGCCTCTCAAGCTCTGGTGGAAGGAAGTGAATTATTATTGCAGGTGGAGCGTGTGGAACCGTGCCCTACTTCTGCTCCTTTAGTCTGTGAGCCTGGTCGCCTTTCAGAGTGGGATGGAGTTGTGTGAGGCAGAAGGACAAGGCCGGGCTGATGCTAGGTTCTTCACCTTCCAGCTCCTTGTGATAGGATGTCACAGGCGT